CAGTCTTTGGGACAGTTTCAGATTTTACTGAAACAGAAATCGAGCTAAGGAACAGTAAACAGGACACAGAAGCTTCTGGGGAGCCTCATTGCTTTCAGAATGAAGCCTTACGCCCTTAACACGATACAGGGCCACACGTGATCTTACCCCGACCCCCTCCGTACCTTCGTCTCATAGCACTCCAGCCCCCACCTATACACGCACACACACACACACACACACACACACACACCCCACTACAGCCAGTCTGGCTTCTTTCCCATTAGGGAAGGCGCTGACCTCCTTCCCACCACGAGGCCTTTTGTACACGCTGTTTCCTCTTTCTTGGACGCTCCTCCTTCCACCATCTTTGCCTCTTCACCTTGAACTCCAAGGACTTTTCTTCTAGGAAGCCTTCTCTGGTTTCCCAAATTGTAAAAGGGCTCCTCATTTTACATTTTAATAACACCGTAGTTGTCTCCTTCCTGTTACTACTGCACAATTGCAACTTAACATTTATTCCTGTTGTTGTGTCATTGAGACCTTTACATTCTTTACATTTACAAAGAGCTACATGCCCTTTGAGGGGAGCCCCAAGTTGTTGCTCACCGCTGGACCCACCCCCACTGTATGCCAGTATCTGGCACACAGTAGGCACGTGATGAATCAGTCGGTGAACTAATTGGGTAAATGAGGCTATAGTAACCTTCCTCAACCAGCTGCGGTACAATGTACAATGGCTACAGTACAGTACACTGGCTAACTGAGTGTTTAGACTCTAAGTCAGCCAGGATAAAGCCCTGGCTCTGCCCCCTACACGCTGTGGAGCTTGGGGCCAGTTAATTAACATCATTGTGTCTCTGCTTCCCCGTCTGCTAAATGAGTGTAATAAATCTGTATTTTATTGACTCTTAGATGCCCTTGATTGTAAGACACGCTATCTACCATTAAGGAAAAATAAACCTACTGATTAAGTAGAATACAATGTCTTCTTATCACTGAGGCTCTTTCTCATACAGAACTGCCCTCTGTCCCACCCATTGGATTAGTCGGGCGGCACGTCTGAACGAAGCTCCCAGTCACACCAGGGCCCCCTGGCCCCAGCCTTATCTGGGGCACTTGCTTCCCTGCCGCTGGCATCCGTTCTGCAAGAGGACCTTCCTGGCAGGTGCCACCGGAAGTTGCACACAAGAACCAGGAAGACATTATAAGGAATGAATACCTGAACACATGCAGCGGCAACAATGCTTGTAATTCAACAGAGATGCTGAAACGTGATACTGTTTTTAACACCATGCCCAAGTGTGACGTTGTAAGCATTATCCCCATTACTTCCACCGCCCTCTGACAGCAGCTATGAGGGGCCGTGGCTTCTAAGACGCCCCTCAGTTTCAGAGAACTTGAGTCAAAGTAGGTGCTTTGGCAAATTTTATTGATTGATTGGCTGATTTCTGTGTTGTTGTTATTTTATGAAACAGCTGATTTCAATCTACATTAAACTAAGCTGAATACCAAGTCTCAGTGAAGGAGGCCCAGTGGTCTCGCTCGCAAAAGCATGTGACCACTGGCCTTTGGCCTTTACATTTCAGGAAGGGCACTTAAAATAGCTTCGTGTCTGTACGTTTCAGCACCAGAGCACAGAACAGACTCTGGCGTCCACAGATGTTCTTTAGCCAGCAGAGCATCCAGTCTCCGCAGCACCTGATCCTTCGGTGAAGACATCACTTTCACAAATCCTCCATCCCCTGGGTTTGGCTTCGGTCTGCCAGTCTCAGCCTCATCTCCATTGATAGCAACTGTCTCGATGGGCGTGGTTCGGTGTGACAAACCCGGATGCACACATACAGCTGGAGAGTATTCAGCCACGTGACCTTGATAGTTAGTTTCTTTTCAAACCCACCCCCCAAAGAGCAGCTGCTTCTGGGCTTCCATTACCACCTGTGGCCCCTGCGGGGAACTATGGATGGTAGCCTGCCACGGATGGGCAGAAGTGCTTCACCAGAAGGATGCGTTCCCAGGGCTGAGCTCTTTGCCACCGAGATAACCCTCACACCATCAGCCGACTGTCCTTCCCTGGTGGCACACGCCGCAGTTTCCCAAGCTCTCGTTTTCCAGTGGGATCCATGTAAGTTGTTTTTACAAGCTTGACCCGTTTTCCTGCTGAAATAAAGACTGTTTGGTATTTTGAGAAGAATCCGTTGATTCTTGATTTTCTGTTTTTGAACTAGTGTTTTACCATCCTGAGGCAACAAGTTCACGTCCAAGGTGTGTGTGTTTAGGGTGGGGGAGAGGGGACTCATTTGGGGAGGGGGATGAAGGAAGAAAGACAAGCCCAAGGCAGCAGTCTCAGGAGAGGCAGTGCTCCTGCTTTCAGACCTTAGGTGATTGTGGCAATTAAGTGTGTTAGAATATGAAGTGCATGGTTTATACATGTGAAATCCAGGGTACATAATAACAAATTTTCATTATCTCCTAGCAGATACTGTTGCCCCTGCCACAATGGTGTTCTTGAGCCACAGTGTCCTTCCCGCGGGCACCTCGGGCAGCACCTGACCAGCTGATGTTGCACAGATGCACAGACTCTGCACAGCCCTCAGATGAACTCATTCTTTCATTCATTGTACTAATAAAAATGATCAGGAGCCAGGGAGATCCAGGCTTTTCCAATTATTACTTGGCTGTGGAAGCACAACTCCTCACTAGAACACCAGCGCCGCTGAGAGCAAGGACTGCCGTCCACTCGTTCACCATCATAACCCCAGTGCCCAGGACAGTGCTGGGCCCTTGGCAGGTACTCAGTGCATTTTGTTGAATGAATGGATGGATAACTCCATAGACATTACTAGAGTTAATCATGGTGAGATGAGAGAATTCTCACTGTGGAGGAGATATATGACTCCTCGCTGAGCCAATGGCAAGACGTGCTTTGGGCCTCACTGGTGTGGTTCAGTTGGCTGGGCATGTCCCGCCAAGCAAAAAGTCACCAGTTCAGTTCCTTCCTGGTCAGAACACGTGCCTAGGTTGCAGGTTCAGTCTCCAGTCAGGGCCCATAAGGAGGGCAACCCACTGGTGTTTTTTCTTCCTCTGTTTCTCCCTCCCTTGCCCTCTCTTGCTTAAATAAACAAGTAAACAAATAAACAATTTAGAAAGAAAAGAAAGAAGAAAGGCTTTGGTTTTCTCGTCTTTCCTTTTCTATAGCAGCCTTTAAAATATTCTGGAACTATGGGGCATATTAATGAAAATAAACTTAAAAGTTAAAGTTATATAATTAATTTGATCATGTTGCTTCCCTTGTAATGAATTATTGATCCAAGGCTGCTCCTGGAGCACCTGGCGATGGTGAAAAGGAAACAGTAGCAGATGTTTGGACTTAGTTCATGTTTGCTAACTAATTAGACAAGGACTTTTTGTGGCTAGAAAGCCTAAGCAGTTTTCATTTCTCTCCAAGCTGGAAGTAGGAACCCAGCAGCTTCAGCCAACTCTGTTTATCTTTCTGGATTCCCGACTGGAAGATACTCTATCACTAATACATTTTGGCAGATGGCTAATCTTATTCATTAGAAGTCCTTTCTGGACGTTACATCTCAGTAGTCTGATGATGCCAGACCTCACACAGTGGATAAAGGCATGGCCCAGAGTCAGAATGTCATGGTTTGAATTGCAAGTTCGCCACTTGCGAGCTGTGTATCCCAGACGGTGTTACTTAACCTGTCTGTGCTCCAGTTTCAAAAGCTGTAAAATGGGGATAATGATTGTTTTACATCACTGATTATAATGACGATTAAACAAATAAACAATGTCTTGGACACAGTAAGTGCTATATAAGTGGAGTTTTAATCTTAAAAATACATGTTAACTTCTAATACTTCAGTCCCCTGTAAAGTTTTTGTTAGTAATTGATCATGCAGTAGTTTAAGCACATGACAGACACTATAAACAGGCTTCTGTCAGGCTTATAGTTACTCATGCCTACTAAAAATTTAAAAAGCAACTCGTGCCCTGATGGGTGTGGCTCAGTTGGTTGGGCATAGTCTTGCAAAGCAAAATGTTGCCAGTTCAATTCCTGGTCCAGGCACATGCCTCAGTTGAGGGTTCGGTTCCCAGTCAGGGATGTGCGAGAGGCAACCGATCAAAGTTTCCCTTTCACACTGATGTTTCTCTCCCTCTCTTTCTCCCTTCCTTCCCCTCTCTCTAAAAATAAATAAAGTCTTTAAAAAGCAACTCCTAAATAAAGGCTCGATTGTGTTTGAGATTTTTGGGTATAGAATATCAGCTAAGGGTTTTGGCAACATGCAAGAGAAATTCACTCCAAGCCCCTGGCGAGTAGGGGGTGGGGGATAGTCAAATCAAGCCTCAGAAAAGGCAAAAATCAGGCCCCTTTGGGAATGCCATGAGTGCTTTTTCCCTCTTGCATCACTCTCCTAGATAACTGAATTCTTGGGAGTGTGGCCTGAGGCCATGGGCCCGCCACTGGGTTTAGTGGAAGGAGCGGTGTGGTGCCCGGATGACTGACCCCAACAGGATTACAGACAATGGATGGGAGAGAGTTATCCAAAGGAAAAGCAGGGTGTTGTTAACCAAAGAAGTGGGGAGGATTGCGTGCTGGCCAAAGCCATAGCTGTCCTCTTTCTCCCAGAGAAGAAAGAAGAAGGAGAGAGGGTCAAGTTTTCTAAAATACTATTTATGTTTGTACTGTAGCCCTTTCCAGGAATTTAAATGTTTCAGTCCTCAGAGAGTCCTCCCTGAGAGGTTGGCTCATCCCTGCGGCAAAAAGGGCAAGAGGCTGGCAATACTCGTGAACGGCTTCTTTCCCCAGCCCCATGAAGCAGATCTCCAGTTGTTTGTGTTGTCTGTGTAGCAGTCATTTAAATGCTAATCTTTGCCTCACAATTTCATAATAGCAATAATTTCTAGTTCAGCCAAAACACATTATGCTGAACTTTCACAATTCCACAAATGCTAAGCTTACAAGAACAACTCACACATTCATGAATTCTGTTTTTGGCTGGGTTTCTCTGGCTGTGGGTATGAGAACACCCAACTTGAAGCTGCTTAAGCAGAAATGGGTTGGCGCACGTAACTGGGCGTTCGATGTGTGAGAGGCATTGGGGGACCGAGTCCGGTTGTTCCAGTCCTACGTCTCTGCAGTTACCACGGTGCTTTCTGCCCTCGTTTTCTCCCTGTTCTTCATCTCGGGCTGGAGGCACAATGGATGCCGAATTTCCAGGTCTTGCAGCCACACAAAACAGTATCTGGAGGAAGACAAGCTCATTTTTTCGTACAGGTCTCAAGAATAAGGTAAGTTCCTCTAGAATCCCCTAGCAAACTTTCCTCTCACCCAGACTAGGTCATGCGCCCAATCCTGAAACAACCCCTGTGGCCAAGGACATGCCGTGTGCTAATAGGCTGACACCTGGGTCCTTGAATCAGTCCCTGGCAAAGAGAATTATGTTACCACGCCTGGCTCCCAACTCACAGGCCACTAGATGATGAGAAAGAAAGTATGTTCAAGAGAAAATAGGGTAGGCATTTCGCTTTTTTCTCCTTCAATATCTGAAACTCACTACTGCTCCAACCTTGTGTCTGAGAAATTGAAGGCATAGTAGAAGACAGAGGCCACTTTCCGTTGACAATAGAAACGCCATCGGCTTTCTGACCAGCTAGAGCAGAGGCAAGTGACAGAAACTCCACCAATCCCACATAACTGTCTCAGCCAGGTTCTTTTTAGAACCAATGATGCAAAAAGCCAGGAACCTCCTGGAAAATCCACTTGGGTGGCAGGTCGTAGCTTGTTTCCAGGGAACAATGGCAATGGCAATGATACATTCTGTAGAGGGCTGCCAGATTTAGCAAATGAAAATACAAAAAAAAATTTAAATTTCAGATTAAAAAACAAATGATTTTTTAGTATAACAATGTCCTAAATACTGCATGGGACATACTTATACTAAAAAAAATATGTATCATCTATCTATAATTTAAATTTAAGTAGACATCCTGTATTCTATCTGACAACCCTAATCCAACAGCAGCCAGTCTCCAGTAGCGGTGAAATGTTCAGTTGCGATGGCAAAAGGGTCCTTGCTAGATAAGACTTGTGGCTTGTCTTCTGGTTGTGGTCCTTCCTCCTGAGGTTCCCAAACGTCAGTGCAACATTATTACTGGGAATTCTGTGAGAATAAATCATACAATGGAAGCTTTGGTTCCCTGCAACTATGAACCCTGGTCACACAAATCTCAACGTCCACTACAAGAGCTTGCGCCTGTCTGTTAGCCAGTTCAAAGGAGGAGAGGAACATTTTTACAGAAGCAGCATGTGAGCATTAGCAGCGAAATGTCACCAGAATGTATCGTACCTTGCTTGGTTCAGCAACTTTGGTACTTGAATTCAGCAAATAAAGAACTCAGAACTGAGGAACTCAGACTGAAGAAGAAAGTATATTTAGAAAGTCACAGAGATAGAAAGAAGTGAGTTGTCTGGTCTGTGCAGGCTTAGGGAACAAGTCATGGAGGCAAAGGAAGGGCCCTTGGAGCTCAGGAATGCCACGGAATGATTTGGCATACCAATGCCCGTGTAGGTAAGGAGTGATAATCAAAAATGCATACTTTATGTTTGATTGGCCGTTGTGTATAAGTAAGTTGTCTTCCCCACAACAGTCAGGGTGACTCTTATCTCTAGACAAGTACTTAAAAGCATTGGGAAAATGTTGGGAGCTGTCCTGCCTGGTTCCACAGACTGCAGCCTCACTAAGGGACACAAAGCGTCCCATGGCTAGAGCTGAGTGAAAAGACCTTGGGGACATGAGGTACTAAGGAGACAGAACATTTACTCCTGGCAGGAGCGCAGCCCCTGCCTCCCTCACTCCCTGCCTGCCTGGTCCAGGTGGATGACTGGTTAAGCCAATACAGGTAAGACCCCTCAAAAGAGGAGGGGCAGCCTGAGATAGACACAGTCACAATGGACCATCCAGGAAGAACTTAGCGGTCTACAGAGAAGGGGCAGACCCTCATCCCTTAGCTTTGTCATAGTCTGAGTCCACAGTCTTCCAGTAAAAGTCTCTTAATCTCTTGGCTGCTTTGCTCTCCCAGCCTGACTCAGCCTGGGAACTCTGCCAGAGGCAGCTGCAACCTTGTACTGGAACAGGCAGCTCCTGGGGGCAAATCAGGCCAGAGAAAGAATATACATTGTTTCCTTTGAAGCTTGCTCTGCCCTGTTGCTATGAAACAGACGCTTGAGCTAAAGCCAACCCTGACCAGAGACAATCCCTGTGTTTCTTCAACTATTATCTGTAAATGATAACAGTTTTTCATGACTGTAGCTTTTTGGACATTGGTTGACGAGCTTTATGTGCATACTATCTATCTCTGTGTGAGCTGAACTCAATAAGAATGCAGGAAAGGAAATGTTCAGGAGGTCACTCCTCTGAAAGACCGGTTACCTTGCCTCCCCAAGCAAATCCTGTCTTGGTAGCTTTATCTCATCTTAGATGGCCCGGGGGAGCTATGCAGGCGGTGCCCCCCACCCCAACAGGAAAAGATGATCTATCCACCATTGACTCATACCTTTGAGAAAGATAATGTTTCCAAAGTAGAAGCACAGGAACTGAACTCACCTACCTACAGTGGGAGGGACTTTTCTTTCTTTTTTTTTATAATTTACAAAACATATATATTTATATTACATGATTTGGTGAAGACAGAATAAATATCCCTATCCCATTTTTGTTGTACACTGGAGTGTTCTTTAGTATATTTACAAAGTTGTATAATTATCACCATTATCTAATTCCAGAACATTTTGAAGACCTCAGGAAGAAACTCCATACCCATTAATAGTCATTCCCCATTCCCCTCCTTCCCCAAGCCTCCAGAAGTCACTAGTTTTCTTTCACTTTGAATGTTTTCAAGATTTAGCTGTATTGTGGCATGTAACATAACATCATTCCAAATAACATTCCATTATATGGCTATACCACATTTTGTTATTCATCTATCAGTTGACGGACATTTGAATTATTTCTACATTTTGGCTATTAAGAACAATGTTACTTGTGATTATTTTGCTATGTATGCAAATGTCCAATCATTATGTCATGCACCTGAAACTAATATATGTCAATTATACCCCAATATAAAAAATGTAAAAGCTGCTATGAACATTTTTGTGCAAGTTTTCGTGTGTATGTTTATTATCAATTCTATTGGGTGTATACCTAGAAGAAGAATTGCTACACCATATAGTAATGCTATGTTTTACTTATTGAGGAATTGTTAACCTGTTTTTCACAACAGCTTTACTCTTTTTTATTCCCACCAGTAATGTTTGAGAACTCCGATTTCTCCACATCCTCACCAACACTTGTTGTCTTCTGTCTTTTATTATAGCTATTTTAGTGAGTATAAAGTAGTATCTTGTTATGGTTTTGATTTACACTTCTCTAATAACTAATAATGTTGAACATATTTTCATATGCTTATTGGCCATTTGTATATCTTCTTTCAAGAAATGTCTATTGATGCAGACAGCACCCGCAGTGTCCGCGTCATTATGGATGAAATGAGACATTCACACAGACTACCGAGTCCAGTGGAGGGAAAGGGACAGCATGGCTTTTCTCTCAAGGGGAGCAAAAGCCTCAGCCCTTGCTCCAATGAGCTTTTATTGTCTTACTGGGCACATTACAAGAAGGTCCTCTTTAACTATGCACAGGCTCGATTTAGGTGGTTACCTTTTACAGAAAACAAAGGAGCCAATGCTGCTAATCACATCCAGAAGAGGGATATTTGCAAATGAAAAGGCAAAAGTAGTTGAACCGGTTACACTCATCCTTGGAAGGTTTAGCATGGTTTTTAGGAAGTTGTTTTGTAGTAAATGTCCTCAATTTGGAGTGAGGGAGTTTTAGCAAAAAGCAAGACTCAGAGTGGAGTGGCCTAGGCACATTGCAGGCCTGATTCTCCACAGGAGAACCTATCCGTGGGCGTGGGTCCTGTGCATCTCCACGTGGGAGCTGGGCCCACACCATGCAGCATGGTCCTCCTACAGTCTATTCAAATCCTTTGCCCATGTTTTAATTGTTAAGTTGTAGAGTTCATTATGTATTCTAGATGCAAATCCCTTATCAAATATATGACTTCCAAATATTTCCTCCTACTCTGTGGGTTGTCTGATGGTATTCTTCGAAGCACAAAACTTTTTAATGTTGAAGAAGTCCAAATTATGTATTTTTTATTTGGTTGTTTCTTATTTTTTTGATGTCATATCTAAGCATTCATTGCCTAATTCAAGGTCACAGAAATTTATATCTATGTTTTCTTCTAAGAGTTTTACAGTTTTAGCTGTTAGGTTTAGGTCTCTAATCTATTTTGAGTTAATTTTTCTAAATGCTGTGATGTAAGGGTCCAGCCTCCTTTTACAAGTGGAAATCCAGTTGTCCCAGCACCATTTGTTAAAGACACTATCCTTTCCCTGTTGAATTGTCTTGAACACTTTTGAAAATCAATTGACCTCTATTCTATCCCATGGATCTATTTGTCTATCCTTACGCCAGTACTATACTGTTTTGATTACAGTAGCTTTGTAGTAAGTTTTGAAATTAGGAAGTGAGTTTTCCAACTTTGTTCTTCTTTTTCAAGATTGTTTTGGCTATTCTGAACCCCTTGCATTTCAATATAAATGTTAGGATCAACTTGTCAGTTTTAGAGGGAATAAAAGCACTTGGGGTGTTCATAGAACTTGTGTTGAATCTATAGGTCCTTTTGAGAAGTATTGCCATCTTAATAATATTGTCTTCCAATCCATGAATATAAATTCTTTCCATGTATTTACACTTTACTTTCATTCAATAAAGTTTTGCAGTTTTCATAAAACAAGCCTTATACTACTTTTATTAAATTTATATCCATGTAATTCATTCTTTTTGAATTTTTTATATTGAACTTATATCCCAGACCTTTATTGAACTTGCTTTTAGTTCTGATAGCTTTTAGGATCTTTGAAATTGTCTATATACAAGATATGTCATCTGCAATAGTGATAGTTTTACTTCTTCCTTTGCAATCTGGATGCCTTTTATTTTTTTTTCTTGCCTAATTCCTCTGGCTAGAACCTCCAGTACAAAGCTGAACAGAAGTGGTAAGAGTAGGCCTTCTTGTCCTTTACCTGTTCTTAGGGTGTGAGGGTTATAACTCTTTCTTCACTGCATGCTTTCTTAGTACTTGAAACATTAGAATAGATAGCTCAAGACTCTTCCGGGTGGTTTTTAATAAAGAGTCCATCAGGTACTTCTTACTTGTATTTTTTTCTTCAGTGGTTCTCTCTTTCTCTAGATTTAGGATAAGTACAATAACTCACTCAATTAGATTATGTATGTTTAACCTCTTGTAGCCTATCTGAAGGCTACAATAGCTGTAAAAGGGATATATACTTTTACATACACTGTCTCTTTCAGTTAGCCACCATTAGAACTTATATGGACTGAATTATAATACTGTCAAAATGTTCCAATTTATCCAATCTTTGTTGCTTTGTGAATGTATTTTAATATCTTCTGGATGGATTTTGTGCACAGAAATTATCATTCAGAGATGACATGTTACTGTTTAAATCAACTTTATTAGAAGTATAGTTTACACTCATAATAAATGAAATGTACCCAGTTTTAGTGCATTGTTCCATGAACTGTAAAAAACGAATAGATCTATGCAGCCACCAGAAACTTTCCCTGTGCCTTTCTGCAATCCCCCACCCCGACGCTGAGAAACCACTGATTTGCTTTCTGTCTGACCTGTTTTAGAACTTTCTATGAATGGATTCACACAGTATGTAGTCCTTTGTATCTGGCTTCTTCCACTCAGCATGTTTTTTTTTTTAAATCCTCACCCAAAGACACTTTTTTTTTCATTGTTCTTTGAGAAAGAGGAAGGGAGAGAGGGAAGGAGAAAGAGAAACATTGATTGGTTGCCTCCTGTACGTGCCTGGACCGGGGATAGAACCCACAACTTGTGTATGTGCCCCGACCAGGCATCAAGTCTACAACCTTTCCGTGATGGGACGATGCTCCAACCAACTGAGCCACATCAGCCAGGGCTCAGCATGTTTTTTTATATTTATCCATAGTATTGTGTATATAAGCAATTTATTCTTTTTTGTTGCTGATAGGTATTCTATTATATAAATATATTATGAAGTAGTAGTATTGGTAGTATTTCACCCGTTGATGAACATTTGGGTTCAGTTTGGTCCGTTATGAATAGAGCTGTTATGAACATTATAGGCAAGTCTTCGTGTAAATATGAGTATTCATTGCTTTTTGGTAAATACCCAGAAGTGGAATTACTAGGTCATATGGTAAACTACCAAACTATTTTATAAAGTGGTTGTACAATTTTATGGTCACACCAGCAATGTAAGGAAGTCATTACTAGCTAATCTGCAATATCACCAGTATTTGGCATTATCAGTGTCTGGAATTTTTTTCAGTCTAGTGCATGCAAGGTAATCTCATTGTGATTTTCATTTCAATTTTCCTGTTGACAAATTACGTTGATCATCTCTCTGTCATGTATTTATAGATCATCAATATATCTTCTTTCAAAATGTGTGTGTTTATATGTATTGCCATGTTTTTACCAGTTGTTTGTCTTATAAATGAGTTGTAAGAGTTCTTAGTGAAATAAACCAGCCAGAGAAAGGCAATGAACATATGATTTCCTCATCTGTGGACTCTAATGAACAAACTGAACTCACAAGCAAAATGGAGACAGTCATAGACAGAGAGCAGGCTGGCAGCTCTGGCGGGGAGGCTGGGGGTTTGAAGGGAGAGAGCAAAGAGGAAAAAAAAGAGAAAGAACCATAGACACAGACAACAGTGTGGAGATTGCAGGGTGGGAGCGAGTCGGGGGCAGGGTGGGAATTGCAAAGTGGAAGAGGAGGTAGGTGGGCTAAATATAATGGGAAAAATGCAATAAAAATTTCATAGATAAGTAAATAAATAAATTCTGGATCTAAGCCTTTTGTTAGGTGTATGCATTAAGCATGTTTTCTCCCTATCTGTGAGTTACTTGCCTTTTCATTTTTTTTAAACAATGTTTTTCAAAGAACAGTGATCCTTAATTTTAATGAAGTCCGATGTATTAGCTTCTTTTATAGTTCATGATTTCCCTGTCCTGCCTAGGGAGTAGCTGCCTACCCCAAGGTCGCAGAGATTGTCTCCAACATCTTCTAGCATAGTATATGTTGAATGATTTTGTTGTATGGTGTGGGATAATGCTCAAGTTTCTTTTTCTTTTTTCTTTTTTCAGAGCCATCAGTAGGGTTTTTAAAGGAGAGGTAGGAGTCCTGAATCAGCAATACAGAGCAGGCGCCCAACCTCCCGGCCAGCCTGGACATACCTGGAGCCCGTGTCTGAGAAGGGCAGAAGTTTCAGACAAAAGGAACATCTGAGGAGAGGTTAAGCACAGAGCTGTGCTTGCTGAACCCAGCTGGTTCCAGCAGGGCGCACAACAAAAGGGTTTGAGAGGCAGAGGAGGGCGTGATCGCACCGGATTAGGGGGTGTCAAGAACAGCGCTGTGCAGGGTGGGTACTCACAGAGGTATTCTACCATTGAAATTTACATTCAAATACTTAGCAGCGAAAGTGTGACGTACATGTATATGTATATTAGTTTTTTTCCATCTAAACTGTTAACATTTGAAGTACCCTAATCAGGAGTTCACTCCTAGGTGTTTAAATTAGCATCTGAAAATCCCCAAGTTGGGGCTGATGTTCCAGAGGGAGTTTCCACCAACTAGTCAAACTTCCTTATGGAGTTTGTAAATGACATAACTGCCACCACTTCCTCCCGTCATGAGCAGGGTGGAACATTCAGTGCCCACGTGGTGTGACCAGACGGCCTCCGGAACCTCGGCGACTTTTCCTGTAGAGTAGAAAGAATAATAGCTATCTCCTAGCAGAGGTTGACAAGAATGATGTAACACACCCAGCTCCAGGCCTGACACTTAATTATTAAATATGTGTATTTGTTTCTTGTCCTTTGACCATCTTCTTCACCATAGTATTTTGAGCTTGCAATTTTATATCATTTACCATGGTTTCTTTCATGTCCTCATCTCAACTCTCCTGCTAGACACCGTCTTCAAGCATAACTGATGATCCTGGGACTGCCTATCCCATCTCAGTGTAACACCTGGATCTGTCTTTAAAATGCGGATTCCTGGGATCTACTTCAAAAGGCCAAGATTCCACAAGTCTGTCTGGGTGTAGCCCGGGAATCTGCTGTATCATCAAGGACTCCCAGCTGTGCCGAGTGAGGTGCTGGAGGGCCATACTGAGAAAAGCTTGCTTCAGAAGTCCTAGAGCTGAATTTTCTTCAAATTTGGACCTGAACAAAAATAGCAAACCTACTTTTCCAGCCCCCCTTGGAGCCTCAGGCTGAGCTGACCCAGAAACCTGAAGCAAGCTTATCTGTCACCTGTGCTACCTGTTTCTCCTCTTCGTGATGATGAGGAAATGTCATCTTTGCCTGTCCAGCACCCACTTCCTCTCTCTCTCTCTCTCTCTCTCTCTCTCTCTCTCTCTCTCTCTCTCTCTCTCTCTCCTAGCCCTCTAGATTTTTCTCACTCCTGACGAAAGCTGACACCCTCCTTCGCCCCCCCTCCTACTCCCAACTCAAGTCAGCCAAGCTCAGCCTCTAGGGCATTTACTATAGAGAAAGGGAAAGGAGTGTTCTGCCGTCAGGGATACTGGACTGTTGGGAACCGACACCTGCCCTGTCTTGTGTTACATGAATATGATAGAGTCTGCTGAGAACGACACAATAGAGACGGTGCCCAGTGACAAATGTCTTTTGGGAACAAGAGTTACTCTTTTTGGCTGAGGTCAGTTTAAGCTGGAATTTCTCCTGAATTCTGACTAATGCATACAACTCCTTATCCCACACACCCAAGTAAAGGCCCTTACACCAACGCCCTCTCTCTCCTCCTCTCCTCCCCACCTCTCTGCAGAGAAGAATCTTCCCTCCCTGGGCTGTCTCAATGTCCCTGCCCCTCACTCTCCTCACAGAACATCCATCACCTCCTTGCCACCCTCAAATCGTAAGGATTCAAGTTCCCTGTGTTCTGCAGGGAGAGACCTTCCCCTTCAGTCCACCTTTCCTTTACTCTTTTTTTTTTATAAACAACATTTTCTTTTTTTTTCCAAAGACTTTATTTATTTATTTTTTAGAGAGGGAAGGGAGGGAGAAAGAGAGAGAGAAACATCAATGTGTGGTTGCTGGGGGCTGTGGCCTGCAACCCAGGCATGTGCCCTGACTGGGAATCGAATCTGCGATGCTTTGGTTCACAGCCTGAGCTCAATCCACTGAGCTACGCCAGCCAGGGCTCCTTTACTCTTTAAGGAGAAAAAAATTCTTTTCCTTTGAGACTCACATTAGCAAGCTCACTGTTCACTACTAATTTCCTGATCACTTAATTCACTTAGGTCTTTGACACCTGTTTTGCAATCTCCACGTCCATCCCTGCCATCCTTCCAGAGGGATTTCAGCATTCCATTCAGCGGCCTATAATCATAGTTCATATAGCATTTACTGGGTACCAGGCATGGGCCTAAGCACTTTGTGTATATTTTAAATCACTCAACCTGTATAATAGCATAAGGTGTTATTATCCCCACTTTATGGATGAGGAAACTGAGTCACAGAAAGGCTATTTAGACTTGACTAGCGTTACCCAGCTACTAAGTGGAGAGAAGGACAAGGGGATATCATTGAAGAGTCTGGGCTTTTAACACACACACCAGCCTCCCAGGTCCCTATAATTGTACCATTCCCCCATCTCCATTCCGTATTGGTCCTTTGAAGGCAGGAGGGAGTCACTGCCTCCTCCCACTGAGTCACTGGGCATTTGGAAGGTCTTTGGAGACAAAGGAGTGTCAGCTGAGGATGGTTTGTACCTCCTCTTCCTGCAGCTCAATTAGTTATTGCCATCTCCCATGTGAATGGGAGATGGCAATAACTCCACTGCAACAGAAAAGCAGGATATATATTCTGCCCCAGGCACCCCATACGGCCTCTTCTCTGCCAGTGGGTAGCTGCATTCAGGCCAGTCTCTTCTCCCTCTGTCCAGGACTGTCCTGAGAATGTGTCCCTTGCCCATATCCTTACCTTTGGCCCCGCGCTCCTCCACCTTCTAAAAACTTTGCAGAGTAGGTCCAGGACTTCTGGTTTTCTTCCTGCCTCCCTTTGGAGAGTGAGGAGAAGGAAACCAGAGGCTCTGGGGAGAAGCCAGGGAACAGTTTCACCATCACAGACTATCGCATCTGGGTAGCTTCATCCAGAGCTGCTCCACTCTGAAAGTCCATGCTCAGACCCTGCACCCCAGCATCACCCTGCCCCCTGGTTTTTATTCCTCTCCACAACTCCGTAGCTTCTCCACCTCCACCTTCACCTGCAGAGAGACACTCCTGGCCTCACAGTGCTCCGCAACACACCTTTCACAATCCCCAGTCTTGCCAGACTGAAACATGTATCCCTGTATCAACAACAAAGGGCCCACTTCTCTTTTTCAGGCTCTACTACTGCTGGGGAAAAAATTCACACAAATGCATGTACTGGTGTCATTATAAATGTAGGGCCGCCAAGCTCATCCCGGCACCCCCATGGCCCCAAACAAGCCTAATCACTACTCACAACAGCTATAATTATAACTGTTTATTGAGTGCTTACTATATGCCAAGTACTGTCCTGATTACTTTACAAGCTCTGTAACCCTCAAAATACCACTACCATGCATTAGAGACCACTGCCGATGAAAAGGGGGCTTGACAAGCTCAGGGGAGATCTACATCATGGGCCTTACAAAACCAGAGACCAAAGTACCTGCACAGGGTGGTCTGAACGTAAAACTCCCCAACTAAAAGTGGATTATGGTGAGTAGTCATGTCTTAGGCCTGTAGCTTCCTTGACAAACATCCATCTTTAACTTTGAAATTATCTATCGTTTTTTGTGCATCGAAGATTGTTGGTGGCAGCAAAAACGACACCAGGTGTTAGACCCGTGGAGTCAAACCAGACCTCGGTTCAGCAGCCTCCGTACTTGAGTTGGCAAAGAAAGAATTCTGAGATGAGACTCAAATTATAAGATGAAGTTTATTTAGAGGGCCACAGAGGGAAAAGAAGTGGGAAAGAGAAGAAACTGGCTCAGAAAACAAGTTACAGAGGCCAAAGAAGGGCCCTTGAAGTCTAGGAGAGGAAAGGGCAAAGGTGAAGGCCTAGCGGGGAGAAGAGGTAGAGAGGAAAGATGAGTGGGTTCTCCCAGGAGGGAGAGGGCCCCAGGTCCTCCATCCTAAGAGCTTTAAAGGGCTTGGGATTTTAGGGGAGGTCCCAGGGGAGGATCTCAATAGAATACTCACCAGCTTTCAGGGTGTATCTTTTTGGGGTTGTGGTCTTCACTGATTGGTTGGTGTCGGGGCAGGGGGTCATTAGTCAGTGCAGCGGGTCCTGATGTTAGCCATGACATTGCTTGCCTGGTTCTGCTGGTTTTCTGGGCCTGGAGCTGAAACACAACTGAGACCTGCTCAAAGGGAGTGGTTATGTAAGGGCCCCACACTCTTCCACCCTTTGGTCCTCCTCTAAGCCATTAGCTAGGAGAGGAGAGATCACCCTGCGGGGAGGATTCTTGTTTTCCCAGTTTTGCCCATTGCTAGGCACCCAGGGCTTCTGCCCTGGTGACCTTCTGTACTTGGCCCATGGTTCTTGCTCTTCTCAAGTCTAACTGCCTCCCACAAAATAACACACCTTTGAGATGTCAGAGAAATCTTCTTTTCCAGACCCATCAGGGCACAACTGCCAGCACCAGCGTCCACACCACTGTTATCTTGTTCCCACATGTGGGGTAAATGTTAACTAGCCCATACCCACCAATGTCTCTCCGTTGGGCTTTCTATCCAATCTCTGAGATTTCCACGTTTTTCTTCTCCCACCTCCCTAATCTACCATAGTAAATTTCGAGCAACCCCTCTTATGCCTCTTCCTTTGATTCTAATGTATAAAATAAGATGCAAAAATTACCATTCTCAGGAGCAATGTGCTGATCTGTTGAGATTTTGCTTCCCAGCAATTGTTATGACTTTGGCACAAATAAATTCTTAATAAGGATCTCTCTTAGGCTGGAGGTTCTTTAATGGATAACGTCATAATTTCCATTTCACGGAACGTGAAACTGAGGCACCAGGAAGTCAGAACCTGCTCAGGGTCACAATCCCACACAGGCCCCTGTCTGCTCTTCCAGAGATGGGCCCGTTCCCCTGCCTGTCTACCACACTAAATTGCTGTGTCACTGTAGCAGTGACATTCTTTCATTCTTTCATTTCTTTCATTTCATTCTTTCATTCTTCAATGAAAGTGAAAAGAACAGGAAGGAGGCAAGAGAAAACTGTCGCTTTAAATTCTGGGAAGGTGGGGGTGCACGCAGATACACTTCCTAGTCATGGTTACTCAGCACTTTGTGGGGCTGGGGGGCAGTAGGGTTGTGGGATAAGGTCGGCGGGCCTTTTTGAGGAACCCAGTCCTGCCTAGGCGGCCCCTTCTCGAGCCCAGTCCCATTCGATTAAGGCAAGGCTGATCCCTTCCCAGGTGAATCCGTCTGTGGCTCTGGAAGTGGTCTGATTCGCCGCCTCCCCACACCATTCACAGGGCATGCTCTCTTGAAGTCTCTCTTATGGACCTCGCAGAACCCCCTCTCCCAGCTGGGGTGCGGAGATGGAGGGGGGGCGGGGCCTGCGGGAAAGCCACGGAGGGTTTCCCGGGTTGCGGGGTGTCCCAGGAGATTCTCCCCGCGCCGGGGCAGACTCCGCCCACTGACAGCGGCCCCGCCCCCACAAGGGGTTAGGCTGCTCCAAGGAGGCGGGACTTCGCAGTGGCGTCAGGCGGTGCCCAGGAGGCCCGAGCGAGCCCGCCCCGGCCACACGCACAACGCGCGCGCCCGCCCAGTCGGTTCTCCTGTCTATAAAGGGAAGGCGGGCTGCGCACTCTCCAAGTTGTATTCGCGGCTTTGCATCCATTTCCATCGGTTCTTACGGTTGCTCGTCAGACCTCAGCCGCCAAAATGGTGAAGCAAATTGAGAGTAAGGTATGCACTCCCGGGAAAGGCTTGGGCGCGACGATCAGCCTCCGTAGCTGGGGAAGAGATAGGCTGGAGGTGGGCAGGCCGCCGGTCATCATTCCTGGAGGAAGGGGTCGCGGCGGCTCGGCCTGGGACTGCGATAAACCTGGGCCTCCGCGCCCCGGAGGCGCCGGAACACACCCTGGCGTAAGGGAGGAGAGGGACGAGAGGCCCTTGGAGGGCGGGGGCGAGTTGTCTCGTGAGCCGGGGAGAGCACGCGAGCGTGGACTGTGCTGTGCGGGTGTCCCCTCCCTGCGCGCTCCCTGCATCACCTCTGCCCGGGGAAACCTCACTTGGGTGAGGGGATGCAGGGAGTCTGCCCTTAGCCCCCCGTATTGTCCATATACGATCCCGGACAAGGAGATCGAGGGCCCTTTGGAGAAAACACAGGGCTGGTAGCCGCCACTCCCAAACCCTGTGAGTGGTGTGATCCACCCGCGCTGGGTGGGGTGGGGTGGGCTGCCTGGAAGCGGGTCTATGCCGGAGACCCCGCCTGCCTCCATCACGGTCGGGCCCCAGAGATGACGCGTGTTGTATCCTCTCAAAAGGGGCGGTTGCGAGCCCTAGAACCTCCCTTCCGTCCTCCCTCGCGTGTACCAATCCGGCCTGGAGGCCCGAGGGCCCCAGGTATCTGCGAGGAAGTGAGGTCTGGCGACGGCCTTGGGACTCCTTCCTGTCGGGCGTTGCCGGCTGCTCTGGCTTTAGAATGACTCAGTCCCAAGGCGCGCCACGGGGCCTCCGCTGCCACACTGATCTGTGAGATTTCACCCACTATTGGTGGCTCTCGCCGAAGCCAGGTATGCCCCTGGGCACTGGTCGGCCTTTGGGTACACCGATGGTGGTTCTGTCCTTTTGGAATGCCCAAGGCAAAAAGTGTTCCATTCGAGAGTTATTGAGAGCATAATACCCTCCTGCACGGAAAACTGAGAGCCGGCATAGTGTCTGGTACACTGTAGCCAGTCAAGAAATGTTTGTTAAATGCAGAGTCAGAAAACTGAGTGGGAGAGAATTGGTGTTGTGCAAACAGGGGGAGACTGACCCCCCGGGAGCATTTACCTCGCGAAAGTCCCACCCCA